CCCAATTTTGTTTGCAAATCAAGGAGCGACAATACTAAGGCATTTAGATGACATAAGGGAGGAATCAAGTATTGTCTCCCTTTCTCCCCTCCCAGGACCTAGTGCAGCATCTAATCCATTGTAGGTATAGAAGGAGGTGGTAGCCACCAAGATGTGATGTTCAGATCTCCCTTCAAGAAAGAGTTTGCCATTCCGCTGCAAGAAGTGCAATTGGTGGACAGCATCCAGCTGCCAGACCTTGCGGATCCACTTCAGCTTTTTTTTTTTTTAAGAGGAGGAGAGAGAGTGGGGGGTGGAGGGAAGAGGGAGAGGGAGAATCCTAATCAGGCTTATGCCCAGCACAGAGCCTGACTCAGGGCTTGATCTCACAACCCTGAGATCACGACCTGAGCCAAATCAAGAGTTGGATGCTTAACTGATTGAGGCCACCCAGGCACCCCCCAACACTTCAGCTTTTAAGTTAAACCCACATGCTTCCTTGGATGCCCCCAGCCAAACACTGAGCAGGGTTCTGCCATTTCTGCCCAGTGCAGGACCCTTCTGGTGGATGGTCTTTGCTCTGAACCTCCCCATGCTGTTGGTTTGGGACTTTCCCTGATCTTTATTGTGGTCTGCTTCTTTCTCCCTTTGTCTTTCCCAGGCATTACCCATCCCCAATAAATCTCTTGGATTTCTCACTCCCTCCTAGCATCAGTTTCCCCTGTAAGACTCAAAGGGTACAAGCAGGGTGCTCATCCAATTGAGTTTGATTACACAAGAAAATATAAAGCTTTGGTTGAGAAAAGAGAAGAACCAAAGGACTTTGTCTTGTCCAGATCCTGGGTTTATACTGGGTAGAGTCAGATGTCGTATGTCTCCTAAAATAATCATCTGTGTTAGGTCTGGGTGTTGACATTGCTCTCAAGCTGCCCCCTCCATTCACATCCATACAATTACATTGGGATAAAGAAGACTCCAGGAAAAGAAGGAGAAAGGCTCTGGAACAATCGCTGTTGGTGGCCTCACCGGCATCCACTTTCCCATCTTTCTTCCTAATAGAATCTCAAAGTTGTCCATGTGTCCATCCCTCCTCCACACAGCCTGGGTTCCTCAAGGGATGTCAACTCCCAGCTCCAGCACTCAACCCAATTAATCTAAAATTAACTTGATTTTACTCTGAGTGATTGCTGCAGGAATGGTCATTTGATTTATTCTGGACAATGAGATGCAAAAAGATGTTTGCTGGGGGGCGGATAGGAGGGGACTATTAAAGATCTTTGATCTTCTAGCAGACCGTCCAGAAGCAGCCCACTCTCTTATTCCTCTGAGTAAAATCATGTGTAGACAACAGACCTGGGGCCACCGCCATACGGTGGCTGAGAAAAATGCTGGTTTGTGAAGTAGAGCCCAACGAAGCAGCTCAGAAAAGTAAAACCAGAGAAACTGTATGGAGTCAGTTCTGAGTCACCCTGCCTCTGGCTTCCAAGTACACCTGTCAATGCATTTCCTTAAGTGTAAGCCAGTCCCCATTGACTTTTCTATATGCATCTCACAACCTAACTGATAGAGACCTGTTTTCTTCCCCTACGAAGTTGCAAAGGTAGTCAAAGTATGTTCTCCCAGGCTAGGGTGTGCTTTAGCAAGGTCAAGGGGCAGGAAAATGCAACAGGGTCCAAAAGGAGAATGTGTCATGGGGGGGGCTGTCATAGGGAAAGTGGGAGGGGGCCAGGCCAGTTGCCCCAGACTCAACCGGATGCCGAGGTCAGTGGGAGGAAGCACTCTGGGGACGTGAGCTGTTGCATCTGGAAACCTCTAATCTAGGGCACGACCTAAGGAAATCCCTCTCATGGGTTCTCTCACATGAGAACTCAAAGAATTATACGACTGGTTGCCCCAGGACTTCTGCGGTGGATGCCTTTAACTTGGTATGCCCCCGAAGGAAGACAAGCCTCCCCTATCTCCCTGAAGAACTCAACCCTCCACATCAGGCTCCACCAGGAGACACCAGGATGAAGCTCCAGAGAGACCAGCAGGCAGAGCTGTGGGATGGAGAGGTGAGGACCAGGGCCATTCCAGCTTAGGTGTCCTCTCGTGTTCTGCCTGCAAACGGCAAGAAGTAAGAGATGGAGAGAAGGCAGCTCTGGGATTCTTAAGAGTATTTGTGGAGAGGATCCTCAAGCAGGGGCATCAGGCTGATGGGAGCTGTTCTTCAGGAGACAATGGCTAGCAACCAACCTCCAAAGCTCGCTGGCCTCAACTATCACCAAAAGATTCCTTTCTCGCATTGCATGTCCATTGTGGGTTGGTTAATTGAAGGATCTGAGAGCAAAATTAAGGCAATGGATGCTATGCAGGCAATTCTCAGTATCAGCCATATTTGCAGCTGACACTATTTGCTCACACCCTGTCTTCCCAACCCCCAGATACGTAAGGGCATTTCTGTTATAACATGAAGTGGGTCTAACCCTAGAATCTGGCTTTCTTCCAGGTACTGGTTGTTGTAGAAACTCATCATGGACCTTAGTCTCCCCCCACCCCCACCCCCGGTCCACCTTTAATGTGTCCAACTAGAAGAAACGACATCAATGAAGTAGATGAGAAGAGCCTGAGATCTGGAGACCCTTAGATCTGGGGTCAAGCCCGGTTCTCTTGCTCACGAGCGAGGAGTCTCTGACCATGGGGTGGTCTTACCTCGCCGTCCCCCAATGGCTCACCTGGGAAAAAAGGGATGACTTGCAATACCACATGGATTTGTTGCAAGACCAGAATGAGATAATAATTATCAAGTCCTCACTGCACAACCTGGCTCATGGAAAACGTTCATGCCAAAAGATTCCCGTGTTCCTCGGAGACTGGCATTTATTTACCAAATGCCTCCATGTTCCCACCTCCCATCTGAGAATAGTCATGTAGACCTCTCTTCTCCAGCGGAGCAAGTCTGAGAAAGCTCTAAGAACACTGTCCACTTCTGGAGGTGTCCAGAGGGGTGGGTGTCTGTATCCATTGCTCCAGGCTGTGAGCCTGGGGTGAATGAATGAATGACTGGCCATGTGACCCTTTTTGAGCCATGAAACAGCCCCCAGTTGTCCAACAACAGCCTAGCAATTAGGGATCTTTGGAAGTCCTGCTTCTAGCAAAATCTGCATCTTAGCCATGAGGAAAAAAGGCCTGGGAATTATTAGGGAGTATCTTGTTTGTTTTGCAAATGAAATTCAGAGTGTAGGAAGCTCCCTACAGCCAGCGGGGTGGGGTAGGGGTGGGGGCTCAGAATTAACCCCTTCTGTACCTCGGCAGCCAGCCTTGCTCTTTAGAATTATATCCCCGGGGGGGTTGTGCCCCAAGCAGCAGGAGGACCCTGAGGCTGAAGACCTGAACATGCCTCTAAGTAGCTCTGAGGCCTTCAGAAAAAAAATCCCTTAATCTCTCCATACGTTAGTTTCTCAGTAGATCAAGCCACTTATGCTCCAAGCACCTGTGAGTTCCTGCATCCTAGCACCCAAATCAGTTGGAGCCTGGGGAGGAATGTCATCCAGCTCAGAGTGAGGGTGAGGGTAGCCACTGTTTATTGTGTCTGTACTATAGCAAGAGGTTCCCCCTCTCTGTCTACTAATAATCATAATATCAATGTTAATAGTATCAGCTCTTCGTTGAATGTATGCTATGTGCCAGGCACTATTTCAAAATTCTGCCTGGATTCCATTTTAATTCTCCCCATAACTCTGTGATGTAGTTGCTAATATTTTTCCCATTTTACTGATGAGAAAACTGAGGCACAGGGAAGGTAAGTAGGTTACCCGATGCGTCGTGGCCTATAAGTGGTTGAGCCGGGATTTGAACCTCAGAGTTTGACACAGGATACTTTAGTCCCTACCTCTTGGGTTCCCATGGGCTGTTCTCCTAGGACCGCCTGGGTCTGTTTAGAAGTGCTGCAAGGTGAGTTGCTTTGAGGGAGAGGGAGAAACAGTGCAAAAGGCACAGGGCCGGTCTGAGAAGGCGCAGCATCCAAACCCCAGCTCCAGCCCTAACCATCCCTGGGACTTCCAAGTCCTGCCACTCTTAGGTCTTGGGTCTCAGTTTCCCCATCTGAGAGTTGAGGTGCTCACCCCTGGGACTATCCAGGGATGTTCCTATTCTGATTGGTGGGTGGGGGAATTTTAAACTGAAACTCAGAAAAGGGCTTTAAAGAATATGTAAACTCCAAGAAATTGTATGAAAAATGTGTTGTGTGGGCCCTCAGTTCATGGGGGGTAAGGAATTCATAGTTCACAACATTTCTTAAAAGGGACCCTCCAGGAATCTAGAATATGCCCGTGCCAGCAATGAAGACACTCAACAGCTAACAAATCTGAAGGAGTTCACTCTTGTGATCCTGATGTCAGGGTCTTTGATGGTGTCCAACATCCGGTTGTTGGGGGCATAGGGAAGATAAAAAGCCAAATAACTGGCTTCATCCATTTGTCTCCCAATATCCAGGAACTTCCAGAATAGAGAGAAATAACCTGGCACCCACAGGCTCAAAATCTCTCCCTGCACACAGCCTCTGTCTTTCTTTCCCCAAGGAGGAATGTCTCTCTTGCATTCACTCCCTTCAGAGAAAGCCAGAAACATGTTGTCACCTGCAAGGATTTGCAAGAGGACCCAGCAGAGAAATGTCAGTTGGATGAGGTGCCTGAATGTAGAACCTGCAGAAACAGCCAAGGCCCAGAACGTCCTCACCCAAATAAACGCTGTGTGTCTGTGCGCAGGTGCGCACGCGCGTGCGTGTGTGTTTGCGTGCGTGTGTGTTCGGGTGTCTGCATATTTGTGTATGGGTGAGGGTACGCAGACATTTGCAAGAGGGGGGAAAGCAGTAGGCTGCTGTGGTGAAAACACCAGAAGGAGAGCCGGTCAGATGTGGACGGGAATCCCAGCTCCTCCGCCTTATCAGCTCTGCCGTTTGGACAAGCTCCTAACCTCTCTGAGCCTCCGTTTCCTCCCCTGTAAAATTCCAGCAATTTCACAGTGCCACTGTGAGGACTTACACAATAACTCATGTACTGAAGAATTCACGGGCTGCAGCTGCCCTGTAAATAGTAGGAGCTCAACTCAACATATGGGAGTCCAGACGCCTGGGTGACCTTGGACAATTCTTTTTTTGTTCTTTTGTGAGCCTTGGTTTCTCCATCTGTAAAACAGAAGCGGGGTGGCAGAGGAGGTTGATTCTTGAAGTCTTCTTTTAATTCTGGGTTGTTGGGTTTTTTTTTTTCGCCTCCAAACAAAAACGCATGCAACTGTTAGAAATAGCATCTCGAGTTCAAGGAGAGACAAGAGCCAAAAGACTAGAATCTGCCTTAGCCACCCTCTTCCTGGTAAACCTCACATGCGCATGCGTGGGGCTCCTGTGACCAGCAGGTACCCAGCAAGCCACACCTGCACTTCCCAAGGACCCCTCTGCCTGTGCAGCAACCCACCACATCTGCATGTCTTACTTATTTACCCGATATTTTTCCCAACTCAGTCACCTAGTTTTGGCTCAAATTTCAGTTCAATCCAAGAGGAAGTTTTGTGTCACTATCCTAAAGAAAAGACCAGTATCTATATTCATCAATAGACTATCATATGGGTCAGACATGCAATGAACACTGGGTAGAGCTGCCCAGTAAAGGTTCTGAGCCTGAGGACTGACTTCACTCTTCCTTAAAAAAAAAAAAAAAAAAAAAGAGGATCAGCAAATGGCAAGAAGGTGCTGAAGGCATGCTAGCACGAGCTGGGGTTTTTCTCCTTGTGCTGGGCAGGACCGAGAAGGAAGGGAAGGAGCATATATCCGAGCAATTTCTCGAGCTGTGCGGGTCCAGCCAGGTAGGCATCCCTGGGCGCCGTTGTCGGTCACTGCAGTGGGTTTAACGGTGTCCCCCCAAAAGAGGTGTCCAAGTCCTAACCCCATACCTGTGACTGTGACCTGATGTAAATCTGAAATCGGATCTTTGCAGATGGAAGAATCCCAGAATGAGACCACCCTCAATCCCATGACAAGTGTCTGTAGAAGAGAGAGATTTGATACATACAAGGGAGTCCCAAGTGAAGACAGAGGTGGACCAAGAATGACACAGCTACAAGCCAAGGACGCCTGGGACCACCAAAGCTGGGAGAGGCAACTCTTCCCAAGAGCCTTTGTGGGACGCCTCAGTTTCAGATTTCTGGCCTCCAGAACCACGCCGGAATCCAACTCTGTCGTTCCTAGCCACCTGGTTTATGGGGACTGGTAGTGGCAGCCCAGGGAAACTAATATAATCATTTATTGCGTCCGTTCCCAGTGTGACATCTGTCAGCATGACCTCACGAGCCTTTTCTCCTCTCCCCTTGACCAGGAATTGCCATTTCAGACGGACTCTTTGCTCGCGCGGACGTGTCCTTGGTTTGCACCAGCGGGCCAGCCTGGGCAAAGATGGTGCGAAGGCCTGGCAGGAGGATGGGCCAGTGTCCCCTGGACTCACAGCCTTGGCATCCAACCCTCCCCGCTTTCCACCCCTGTCTCCCAGTCCTACCTGAAAGACACAAAGTAAAAGGAAGGATGAGCCTCCATGTTGGTGAACCAAAGTGTAACTTTTGGTTGCTATTTTTTTTTTAATCATGAATAAACCCTGTTTTGTGATTTTAAAAAGGGTCGGCGTGGCGGGGGCGGGGACTATAATTCCAGACCGAATCAATGGTTGGAACTTTCCTGCTTAATGTGAGCCAGATTCCTGCCTCCTGTCTTCTCTCCCTCTCTCCCGCTCTCCTTTTCTTTCTTGTACCAAAAGCTGTCTGCTAAACTTCTAAAACACCCTTTGCCTTTTTGACCCTTCAACTTGTCTTGAACTTCAGAAAAAATTGGGGAAATGGCACTGAGTGAACTATATATAAGTCCTGGGCGTGTGGGGAGGAGGGGGGAGGGGGCCACGCGGGGGAGGAGCCTCACCATGAACTTGGGCCTCAGATATTCGCTTGGAAAGAAAAAAAAAAAAAAAAAAAAAACCTCTTCTGTTAATGGAATTAGTAAATATTTGTTGCTCTGTTCTAGGCCGGTGCCCCAGGGGGATATCTGGAGGAAGGAAAAAAGGAGGGCAAATACAAATAAAAGACAAGCTACTTTTCTGCTCCTTTCCCCTCTGCAAAGACACTAAACAGACAAGTCGGAGCATTAGAATGAGGCCTTGTGTGGCTGCTCGGAGCAGGAAGCTGCGAGGGGCTTTGCGGCGGGGAGGGGGCCCTGGTGGGGAAGAAGCAGACCTGCTATCCGGTAATGGGAACGCCATTCCTACTTAATGAAATGATTGCTGGCGGAGTTCCTGAGTTACGGCGCAGCCTGCACAGTCTCTGGCTGGCTTCCTGGAGCCCCGAGACCCAGGGCGGGGGTCCGGCCTGAGACAGGGTGAGAGGTGGCAGGGCAGGGGGGAGAGAGATTGAGAGTGCAGAGGGGAGCACAGGTGTGGGCAGGGAGGACGAAGATGCTGGAGGGACGGAGGCAGATGGGAAGGCAGAGGGAGGCAGGCGGTGAGCGGATGGAGGCTGCCCCAGGAGGAGGCGGGCCAGCGTCGCTGTAGGGTTCAAAGAAGTGGTGGGAAGGGGGACAGCCATCCAAATGAGAGTCAGAGAGGTGGGTAGCATGGGGATGAGGCTAACAAGCGGATGGTGGAGAGACTGGGACACAGATGGAGCCAGAGATGGAAAGAAGGATAAGAAGTGGGCATGTGGAGACACAGACAAAGATGGAATGAGGCAGAAACCCTAGCCATTAGAAGCAGGACAGAAGGAGGAACCAGACAGTGGGCGAGACACACCTGGGCACAGGGTCTGAGACAGAGAAACAGAAGGGGACAGAAAAGTAGACAAAGAAGCATGAAGGCAGAGAGAAGGGGGCATCTCTGTGCAGGTGGGGAGTGGGGTTTCCATGAGCACAACAAACATCACCCTGAGGCAGAGTGAGGCCCGGCAGACACCGATTATAAAATAAAGATCGTATCTGAAACAGCCAAATAAAGAAGGGAAAGGACCCAATGTCCTTCAACATCATGGCAACAATTCTCAGACTCCCCCAACTTTTAAGTCTGGGGATCAGTGCACAGGTGGAACATTTTCATCACCCCTATTTGGTTTCTGGCCACCCAACCATGCTCCAGGGAAGATTTATGACACCCACTTTTTTTTCAGTTGAAGAATCTGAGAATCAGGGAGATGAAATTACGTACAAGGTAATACACAGAGAGAAGGGGAGATGGGGAGAGGGGGAACTCTAGGCTGGCTTGTACAAAAACAGTATGAATGCTGGAAAAGAGAAAAGGTTGGAGGCTATGTGTTCTGAGAGCTTCACTTTGTTCAAGAGGAGGCCAGATGCATTATTATATTGATTACAGTGATTAATCATATGCAGAAGAAGAATTTAACATACACTTTTAAATAATAGGAACAAAACATACAGCTTCTAAACAAGGTGAGGAGGGGCACCTGGGTGGCTCAGTTGGTTAAGCAACTGACTCTTGGTTTCAGCTCAGGTCATGATCTCATGATCTCAGGGTAGTGAGATCCAGCCCCACATCAGGCTCCCCACTTAGCGGGGAGTCTACTGAAGATTCTCTCTCTCCCTCTGTCCCCTCTCCTCCACCAACATGCTCTCTCTCTCATGCAAAGGAATAAATAAATCTTTAAAATAAATAAATGAACAAGGAGAGGAGAAAAGGTGGATGGAGAAGAGGTAAAGAAAATCCTCACTCTAATACAAAAGAGAAAAAGAAAGAAAAGAAACAGAGGCAAAAAGAAAAAATACATTGAAATAAGTAGAAAGCTTAGAATCAGATAATAGAGATAAATCTGAACTAATCTGTAATCACATTAATCGTAATGGGATTAAACTGTTCAGTTAAAAGACAGGGACCTTGGGAATGGATTATTAAAAAAAAAACAGCTGTGTGCTTTTTCTGAGGCACACATACATGAACAGAGAAGTAGAATACTAAATACTAGAAAAAAGATATTCTAAGCAAACACTAACAAAAAGAAAGTTGGTGTGGTAACATGGATATTAGACAAAAGGGAGTTTTGGACAAGCTGGCTCCCTCTGGCACACAGCCATGGGCTTCCACTGTCCACACTGTTTCACTGTTCCTGTTTCTTGCTTTTATTAATAGGGTAAGAACCAAACCCCTTGGAAAAGGTAATTGTTTGTGGGTTCTTTCAACGTGTTCAACCAAGAGCCAAGGAATTGCCCAACTGTGACCTTTCACCCCCATACTCCTCACTGTGCCCAAGGTGGAGTAGATAAACCTTTGCAGGCAGGGGTGAGTTGGGGAAGGCTCATAAAAGAGAGAGCCTCTCCTGCTCCCATTCTCAGTCACATCATACAGGATATGGCCCTCAATGGCCTTGCACGAGGGTCTCCCTTGGCCTGAAAGACCGTCCTTGCTCCCCACTTGCCACTGGCCTTTGCTCTTTCTATGGCCCATCTTGTCCAACAACAAGGCCAGAAAGCCACCTGGGAGAAGTTCTCACCCCTCTGGTTTGTAGACAAGGTCCACAGGATCCAGGAGGTTGCCCGAAGGTGTCTCAGCAAAGCAAGGGTTGGCTCCCTTAGCATGACTTTAACTCCCTCCCCTCCACTCTGCATCAACACAACGATCCCACTTACTTCTCGCTTAGGTTTCAGGCTTTCTGGCTGGTCTCAGCAGAAGAATGAGTCCGAAGGCTGAAAAACAGAATCCCATAACCTTTAACTTCAATCTGGTCCAATGCCCTCATTTCACAGAATGGATCACCAACATCCAGACAGAGGAAGGGATGTCGTGTCTTGCAACCACATCTCATCCCTGTCCCTTATGAAAGGCAAAATCCTGAACAAGTGACCCACTCTCTTTAAACCTCAGTTCCTCGTCTATAAAAAAGGGGAGAAGAGTAGATCTGTCTCCTATGGGGTTGTGGTGGGGATCAGTCAGATGAGTTAAGTCAAGAGTAGAGGCACTCACGAATGTTACCTGTGATGATGGTAGCAGTGGTGGTGGTGGGGGTGGGGATTATTAATTATTAGGCATTATTATTCTCGCTCAATCTAGGGCTCTTTCTCCTCTATCCAGCTGGCTCTGGGACATAATGTAACATGCCAGGACTCGAGCCAGAGATGGAGGATATGAAACACAACCCTCCCAGCAGCCTTATTCTCCAACTATGGCTACCCCATTAACAGCCGACCGATCTCAAGCTGGACCTTCTCCATCTCTGGGCAGCCAAGCCTCAGACCAGGGACTTAAAGAAGGAAATCTAGAAATCCTCTAGAAGGAAAGATTAAGACAAATTTCCTACAGATCAGTTGAAGGGGCTGAACTCTTTCTTGTCAGCTTATTTCCCCTCCCTGCCCAAGGTCTTTCTCCCAAGCCCAGACTTTCACTCTGATGTTAAGTCTCCTGTCCCATTATGAGGTGTCGCGATGGCATGAGAGGGTCCCACTGCCCACCCCACGCACGAGAGAAGGTGGGGCCAGGAGAGTGCCTTTGTTTATGAGGTGACAGTTGGCCAGTCTAGGGGGACCAAGCCTGAAACCCACTTGCTTGCCCAGGCCTTAGCCCTTGCCAAGAACAAATGACCACCTGGATCACCAACCCCAGGCTTCCAAAGTGGCCCCCACATCCCAGCAGCACAGGGCATGATTATGAGGTGGCAACAGAGGCTAGTTTTTTTAATTATATATTTGTTTCCAGGTGTATTCAAAAAGATCTATAACCAGCCCATTAAATCTTCCATTTAACAAATGTTATAGCCTGGACAAGGCGTTTTTAAGTTACAAATGTGAGCTGATTTACAAAACAAGTGTATAATGATTTGGTCATTTGCCAATATGACAAATCTGGACATGTCTGGAAATTCCGTTTTCCTTTTACAGATGGAGAGACAGGCATACAGGGGAGGGAAGTCATGACCCAAGGTCACTGGGCAAGAACTGAGGCTAAAAGCCAGGTCTCCTAGGTACAATGTGGGGTCCACCTGTCCTTATTCTGACTCCTGTGTGACCAGTTCTACTGACTGAAGAGCCAGGTCTCCAGAGAGGCATTGGGTGATCATGGAGTGTCTGAAATGCAGGGATTACTATCTGGACAGTATGTTTTAGCTTAGTGTTGTCTGCCATCAACAGATGAATCTACAGATCAAGGCTCTTATTGATCCTGTGCCCATGCAAGGGTGATCCATATAGTGACGGAGAGCAGGCCACGCTGCCTGGGTTCAAGTCCATGTTCCACCATTTTTCTAAGCTGTGCAAAGTGGGCAAGTCCCATTCACCCCGAGTCTCCTTTATTCTCATCTGTGCAATGGACGTACATGCTGATTACTTCATTGGATTTTTAGTGAGGTTTAAATGAAACAAGCTCGAAAAGCCTAGCACCTTACTGATGCTCAATGTGAGCTGTTGGGACGGATGTGTATCTGGGATCTTTTCACAAGGGAAGAATGTTTCAGTTCACTCTTGCTGTGTAACAGACTAATTCAAAAGTTCAAGACTAAAAACAACAATGATTTGTTATATCTCCTAATGCTATGGGTCAAGAATCCAAGTGAGGTACAACTGGGCCATTCTCCAGCTCCACGAGGTATTGGCTGGGGGCACTCACTACTTTCGGCGGGTGGTCAGGCTGTTCTGGAAGGTCCAGGAAGACGTTTTCCTACATCTGGTTCCTTGAGGCTTCTCCACGCAGCTTCTCATTATCCACATGGTATCTCATCATTCAGTAGTAGCGTGAGTTTCTTTACAGCCCGATGGTGTGCTTGCAGAGGGAATGTTGAAACTGCCAGGCCTCTTAAAGCCTAAGCCCAGAGCTGGCAGAGCATCACTTCTGCTGCATTCTTGTTGGCCAAGGCAAGCCATGAGCCCAGCCCAGATTCAAAGTTTGGCTGGAGCAGCTGGTGTGTTCAGAGATGAAGTCCTCCATGGTGGACATCTTTGGGGGTTACATACATACCATGGGGGTCTAGAGCTTTCCCATATATCCAAGCAGTCCACGCCACTGCCCCACCCCACCCCCAGGCTCCATTCATTCTAATAGTCCTGTGAGTTCCACCATAACATCATGCCCGCTTCAATAGCTGGCTCTTCGAATGAGTTGTTCATTGCCTGGATAACTTGTCCTTAAAATCCTAATTCAGCCATGACTCTCTCCAGGAAGCCCTGCATGATCCCCTAGATTGGGATGATGCCCTTGTTATTTACTTCCCTAGCATCTGGTATACCTCTCCTTAAACTCATCACCTCATAAATAACTATAAATTCAATGTCCATTGTCCTTCCAGACATGGTCCCATGAGGGTGAGGACCCTATGAACCTTGTTCATCACATCATCCCCAGCTCCTGGCTCAGTATCTGCCACCTGGTAAGTACTCAGAAACTGGCCAAGTAAGTCCTGAGTCAGCAAGAGTCTTGGCACTTGGATTCCAGCCTCACCTTTGCCCCTTCCACCCTTTGTGACCTTGGTGTGGCAGGTTCCCTGGGAAGTGGAGGCTAGATTCAAGATTAATGAGTAGGACACTTACTGGGGATGGAAGAGAAGGAAAGGAATCAGGGTTGTGTGAAGGAAAAAGTTGAGCTGTGACACAGTTTCAACAAAGACCTCGGCCAACCCCATGGGAGTTCTGAAGATGGGATGATGCTTCTACTGGGGCCAAAGGGCTAGACCTTCATTCCCCTGCACTGCCAGTCTTGGGATGCTGGCTGTCCCTGGAAGGGGACATAATCATAAGCAAGGTGGACATCTTCAGCTGAGTGCAAGACCCAGATAGCTGGGAGCTAAAGACATTCAACTGGCAACACTCCTAGAAACAGTGCGGGGGGGGGGGTGTTGCGAGGGGGACAAGACTTTTACTTCCGAAATGGACCTAAGTAGCACATCATACATTGTTGACACTTGGCCTTAGTCTTTCTGTGCCTCCATTTTCTCATCAATGGAATGGAGATGGTGATATCCCCTTCGCAAACCCCAAGGAAAGACCTAAAATAAGTAATGGATGTCAAATGGCTTTGAAAATGTTCAAAGAACGGGACGCCTGGGTGGCTCAGTTGGTTAAGCGTCTGACTCTTGGTTTCGGCTCAGGTCATGATCTCAAGGTCTTGGGATTGAGCCCCGAGTGCAGAGTCTGCTTTAGATTCTTTCTCCCTCTCCCTCTGCCCCTCCCCACTCATGCTCTCTCTCTCTCTCAAATAAATAAAGTCTTAAAAAAGAAAACGTTCGGAGAAGAGGAGGATAAAAAGAAGGAAAAACTTGGCAGACATCCTGAAATATCAAGAAAAGGAGGACTCTGGTCCCTGCTCCCAGTTTGTCAAGAGTGAAACTTAATGGGACTCAGGTCACATCCACAGACAATTCAGATGGAAAGGTCTTGTCTTAAGCAAGCTCTCGACGCCACCAGCACCCAGTTCAGCTCTTTAGAGAAAGACTTGGATGAAGCCTGGGCAAGCCCTAACGCCACCCTCCATGGACCTCAGGGTCATTCTCCTTGTTTTTGGTGATTTCCTAAGGAGAAATTACAACCCAGCTTTATTTGGCCATTGCACCAATATTTACATCAATAAAGCACTGTCTGCCTAGGGAGTGGTGACTTTTGCTCCAGGCAGGAACGCCAGATCCTAGGTACATAATGAAAGGAACATGGACTGGGTAGAGGTTTATCTTGATGGGAAAGCCCCCCCCCCCTCCAGTGTGGTCTTAGCAGCTTTTTGCATGTCCCCCACTGGCTGACAAATCACGGTGGAAGAACAGAGGCATAGGATCTCAGACCTACACATTGTTACTGTCGCTTCTCCTCCCAGGCAAATGATGCAACCAGGAGGTTTTGTTTGGGTATGTTTGTGGCAGGCATCAGATCCTTTAAGGAAACAAGCTGCAGCAATGATATTGTTCCCCAGTAACCAAGATGCCAGTGGCTGTTGGCACGGATGCTAGGACCACTCCCTGGCTTGTCTATCCTGGCGGCGAGGAGAGTGAACAGTTCAGCCTATGGGGCGGGCCTTGCGCAGAAGAGGTCAGGAAGAGGAAGGAGAGAGAACCACAGTTGGTCTGAAAGGATGACAAGAGTTCCCAGGCTCGACTCTTATGGATATTAGATTTTATTCATCACTTACTACACACCAGGCACTGAGAAAAGCGCCTTCAGCACTTTATCTTGTTTGATCCTCACGACCACCTTTTTCCCATGTGACTGATGATGGAACAGAGGCTCAGAGGGGGGAAGTGTCCTCCCCTACGACTGAGTGATTACGAAAGGATGTGAACCCAGGGCTCCAGCATAAGCTCTTGATTACCAGCTATGTTGGGTAGCCTGGCCAACGTGGTCGAACAGAATGAGTCCTAAAGTGAACTCAGCTTGATTTCATGACTGTGTTACACAATGATAATATCCATATATCATGAGTAACACAGCTCTAGATGTTTCCTGTTCTATCTACTCCCTCTTTCTTCTCCCCCTTGCTCCCTTTCCATTTACTGAGGTCCTATATTATGTCAGACACTGTGGATGTCGAAAAACCTATACCATTGGTCCTATCCTCTGTCTCTTTGGGGAGACATTCTCTGAGGAAAGCCAGACACAAAAGCAAATTATTACAATGCCGAGGAGCACACAATGTCTCAGAGATCCGAAGAGAGTCCCACAGGAACACAGAGAGGGAGCTTACATGCCAGAAATGTTTCAGCAAGGGGAAGCCATGT